CATTAGTTCCCAAAATACACCTAGTCCTTTCGGTCACCTCCCTCCTTTCTCTTCTTCCTCAGCAAACTCTTAAACTGGTCGAACCAGATCTGGTATCACTTCTTCTGTGAAGATTCATTTTTTTCCCTCTTTCTCTTCTGTGGTTTACTGCTACTTACAACTGTTTGTTTGCCTCTAGGGAAACCGACTTATGGTTATTATTTTCCGAATTGGCAAGCATTCTAGATAGGGGTGAAGAAGACACAAATATTACCCAGATGACCTCCCAGCGCAGAGCTGTCTTTGTGTTTAGATGTCGTGAGGAAACGTTACGACCACACGCACATGGGACCTTCTGTGACGCAACTCTTGCTGGGTTTTCTCCTCTCACCCTTATGTCAACAGGAGGAGAGCTGCGCGCTATTTTTAATGATTGCATAATATTCTGTTTTATGTATCATTGCTTTCGCCAGTTTCCTGTGGATGCACATTTCAGCCATTTCCAGTTCCTCGCATTATCATAAATAATTTCCTAATGAGCGTTCCACTGTGCTCGGAAACTGTCTTGACGGATGTCCCTGATCGCACGGGATCATAATTATCTGTGCGCCTGTCTTTCCCACCAGGCGATGATTAGTTCCCTAAGGGCAAACACTGTTATTTCTCTTGGAACCCCCAGAACCTTGCCGAGTGCCAGTAGGAGCTTAATGTATGTTGTTGGAAGAAACGAATGGATGTTTGCAGAGTCGGTTACACATGGGTGTCGTTGCCTGTGTCCCCAGTTCTCACTCGGCTTTCCACTGGCCTGGAGCCTGGTCTCGCCTGGGCTTTCCGCAGCCCCTGCCTGTGTCTGACTTCTTGTCAGAGATCTCATTACCATGAACATAAATTCAACGCTCAGCTTTAAGCATTGGCATCTTTTCAAAAAAGAAGGAGAATATTGCCAAACCATGACTCCGCCATAGATTTTGGTGGCCTCTGAAATATATTTTATCCATTGCAGAGGAAAAAAAAATGCAGATGCCTGACACATTTTGTCCTACCCTCAGCAGAGATGAGTTATTAAAACTGAAACTGTCAATTACAAGAAAAAAAAACACTCCACGGTATGTGTGTTGCACAGTATTTACAGCTGTTGTGTGTCAGGGGTTCTCTGGGGCACCGTTTGCTGCTACAACTGAATGGTCCCGTAAGTTTAACTCACCGCTATGACTGCAAAATTGGGTTAAATCAAAGGGAGGAAGAGAGGAAAATCAACTAGAAACGGCTAAAATGCTGCTCGTACCTTCGCGAGAACCCATGGTTTTTCTTCCTTTGCTTCTCCAGGACCTCCGAACAGCCAGTGAGGTCTTGCAGCGTACTACAATGTAGCAGATTACCAACCTGAGCCTCCAAAGGAGAGATAATTGTTGCTGTCTGTTTGCAAGGGCATTTGGCTTATTGACTAATGCACGGGGAGGCAAATGGAGCAAACAATGAGAGCGGTCAGTTGTACTGCTAATTTACAAGAGCTTAAGCTATTTTTTATTTCTTCTTGCTGGGCGGGGAGCTCTTGTGATTGTTGTTCAAAGTGCTGTGAACGAACACAGTTCAAAAACCACCAAGCGAGTGATATGGAATTACAGAACCAAAAATAGGCTCCTGATTGGGCACAAATTCATCAAGCCCCTTTCTTCTCAACAGGCTTCTTACTGGAGTGCCAGTGCAGCTCGCTTTGGAAGGCGTTAGGAGTGATCGTGGGCGAATGAGAGAGTGGGAGGGCCGACCCGCAGTTGACTTCAGCTGTGCTCGGCCAGCTGACTGTGCATCCCCCGCTCTGCCCCCGCCCCTGCTCCCAATACACTTATTTGGTGATTTCGGTTAGCAGGTTGCTAGTTTTACGTGAAGAGCACCCAATTCAATACGCAGCTTCTTTGGAAATGTGTGTAGCCCTCACCTCAGGGGCGAGGGGTGGGGCTGCAACTGAGCCCTGGAGACAGGGCTCTGAAAGCGGTTCTCCGCCCCAGCAGACCCACCGCACTGTCTCTGCTTAAACAAACAGCTTACGAACATCAAAGTCAGAATCACTTTTCAGAGGCTGTCTTCGGTGTGTGTTTTTTGTGTGTTGAAAAACGATTATTGATGGTTATTTCTGAAAGCAGTGGCTCCCCGCTGTTCGTTTCTGGGGCGCGCCTATCCAGCATCCTCGTTGCAAGTCTCTCCTTTCCTCTTCTCTCCCCAGCCCAGAAAGCACACCCGCATGCATGCATGCATGCCTGCCGTTCACGGTACCATTGTGGCAGGGATGACGGGAAACCTGTTCAGCACACACAGTCGTCCCCGTATCCATGGGAGACTTGTTCCAAGACCCTCCAGTGGGTGCCTGGAGCCGCAGATAATACTGAGCGATGTGTGTGCCATGCTTCTCCTGTCTGTACGTACCTGTGGTAAAGCTGAGTGTATAAAGTAGGCACACCCAGAAATTAACAACTAACAAGGCAGCACAGTCATCACAAAGTCCTGTAATACAAGTTACGGGAAGGTGGCCTTTCTCTCACATGGTTGTCCTGTGCTTATTGTTCCCCTTGAAGGAAGCATCTCCCGGCCTCTCTGTGGTGTGTCCCAGCTGGCAGCATCACTGCTCTGGGGCCACTGTGGGATGAACGAGGGTGACTTGCACTGAGGCACCGCGGTGCCGTGACCGTTGGTCTGGTCGCCGAGACGCGCACGGAGTGACTGCCGGGCAGGGAGTGTGTACGGCGTGGAGACGCCGGGCAAAGGGATGATTGACGCCCGGGGGAATGGAGTGGGACCGCACGAGACGTCACCGTGCTCCTCAGCACGGCATGCGGTTTAAGCGTATAAATTGTTTATTCCTGGAATTCTCCTCCTGGTATTTCTGGACCATGGTCGACCGCCAGTATCTGAGCCATGGAAATCGAAATCACACATGGGGGAGGGAGTACTGCATGTATGTATGCCATATGTCTACATATATATTACAGGCAAACATTAATATTTTTATTAGGAGCTGATGGTTATTCAGTAGACCTCGTTACTAGTCACAGCCTTCTGATGAGATGCTGACTCTGTGGTTGAGAGCTTCTGACTTATAAAGTCCAGGTCCCTAAAATATATATATATATGTATGATTCTTCTATATATATATACAGAAGAATCGCACCAGTGTAACCTCCGCCTGCCTCTGTAAATTCCTGTGCCCTCAGTCCTTCGCTTCAGCTGCACCGACGTTCACCCTCTGAGTTCCCGCGTGCGTCTTCCCCACGGCTTAGAAGACCCTCTCTCACCTCCCGTCCCTGGTGAGATGACACTCACCCTGCGAGGCCCAGTCCCGGCGGCAGCACCACACCTCTGGGAATGTTCTTTCCCGCTGTGGGCGCGTTGCATGCCCTCCACCCGCTCACTCGCCATTGTTTGACGGCGCGTTAGTCACAGCCGGCAAATGCTGTGGCCTCGGACGGAATGAGAACTTTAATTCCTACTCGACTGTTTCTTTCCGCCTGGTGCCTCCTGCCATTCCTGGAATGCGCTCAGGACATCTGCTTAAGGAAGAGCACAGCTGAGTATCAGCCCCAGTGTGTAAGTAATCCACAAGGGACTGACGTCACCTGCCCTCGACACAGTGGAAAGGCACCAATCTGTGCCCCTTAAACCTGTAACGTCTCGGCGGTTGTCGACATCTAGATGGAGTGTTTTTTGTCTTGATTGATAATAGCCATGTGATTTGGTGATAGGATTTTTAAAAGTTTATTTCTTTGTATCTCCAATTACTTGTTCTTTAAATCTCGTATTGGGAGTCCCTCAGTTTTGTCTTTCTTTACATAGAACTAGAGACACGGTTTGTTTCCTCAGAAAGGCAGCTGTTTAAGGGAAGAAGAGCCACGCTGGAGTCACGGTGGTTTGAGGCGTATGGAAATAAATGACTGGTGGGACCTTTAGGCTGTTTAAATGGCTGGGGCATTTGCACTTGGCGAGTACTTAGTTCTTGTCATCGGGACAGGTGTAGGAGTGCTAAGGAATCGGGCGAGGATACAGAAAGAAAAGAGAGTCGGAACTAAAACCACGGACATACACTCGGACAAGGGGTTAGGCAGACGCAGTGGCTGGCTGGTAGGCAGCCACATCTCCCCGCCACCCCCACGGCTCCAGGTGTGTGGTGACGAACATCACCGATCATTCACAACACCTTCTCCCCCTGACCCCAGAGGTGGTTTCAGAATACGTCTCAACTCTGAGATGCTCTAGATGTTTTCTGTCAGCAGAGGAAGGGAGTCTCTCCTCCTCTCGCCAGTGCACCCGATAAGGCCTACTCAGGTTACTGCTCCCTGACCGGGCAGACAGCGGGTCCGCCAGTCCCTCTGCAAACTGAAGAGAGTCCGACGACCTAAGACGGAGCTGCCAGGTGCTTCACTCTTGGGTCGAATCCCTCTCGAGGGCTGGGTTCAGTGTCCTGCCGTCCTAACTGCCCCACACACGCCGTGCACTTGACTCAGTTCCACCGAGGAGCGAGAGGGACCATCTTCCCCCGAGCTGTGTGCCCAGTGGCACCCAGTGTGCCCAAGGCTTTCTGTGTATGTCCTTCTATGTTTGTGACAACCGCACAAGGTCAGTGTGATTGTCCCCATCTTCCAGGTGACAAACTAGCCTCCGAGAAAGTCGTTTGTCTACATGTCACGACCGGTAGGGATGAAGATCACCAGCCTCTTGCTGTTGGACACCAGAGAGCCCTTTATCCTTTGTGGTCTCGCTGAGTCTGCTTCTTGGCTTCTTCTCGTGCCTCTGAGTGTCTGTGTTCTTCACAACAGCCTTGAGCTTTCGCTTCACATGCTCTTGAGTCTCGCAGACCACAGGAGAAGGCAGGAAATGCATAAATGCAGATCAGTGGTGCATTAGAAACAGGCGACCTATTTCAGACTTCGTGCCGGTTCAGTGTCATTCTCCAGGAGGCCTGCTGGAGGTTATCTTGGTGGAAGTGGGGAAAGCGTCCTTAGGTTTGATTTCTCTTTGTCTTGTTTCGACAGGGCAGCGTCCATACCAGGTGATCACCGCCCGCGTTCACCCAGGCGAAAGCAATTCCAGCTGGGTGATGAAGGGGGCCTTGGAGTTCCTGGTCAGCAGTGACCCTGTGGCCAGGCTTTTGAGGGAAAACTTCATTTTCAAGATCATCCCCATGCTCAACCCAGATGGTGTCATCAACGGCAAGTATGTTGGCGACCTGCCCGATCGAACTGCACTTATGTTGCCATAGTAACGCGTGGCTGTTCCGACCAACCGGGCGAGGGCTGTGATTGGAGAGGCCTGGGCCCTCTGGCAGGAGGAAGCTCTCTTGGGCTTGTGAACTGGTACCAGAAACTACGTACTCCTCATCGATGTCAGTCTCATACCTTTTTTTAAGGGAAAGGTATAGATTCGTAGGCGGTAAATACCAGAGGGATCCTTAGAAATAATGTAGTTCAACGCTCTCCTATTAAAAAGGAGAAAATTGGTGTCCAGGGCAGTGGAGTCACTTGCCCAGCTCCCACGGTGGGCGAGTGTGAAGTCAGGGCTCAAATTTGAGGGGCACTATTTTATTTTATTTGTAACTGTGACATGTCCTTGCAGTTAGGGCAGCGGTTTCACTCACTCGCCGCGTTTGCCGCAGAGACGTCTTTGCGCTCGGTGTGTCTCACGGGATTCGGGCACGGCTGTGAAACGGGAGTGCCCTTCTCTACCTGGAGAGGCCGAAGGGGTGGCAGTGGCTGTGGGATGGTCGAGAGGGAAGTCCCGAGAAATGGTCGTGGGCAGTGCTTCCCCTGCCCCGGTGCGCCCTGCCTGCGGGACGGGTCACGGGGGGGCCATGGAGCGCAGCGACGGATGAGGTCGGTGTGAACGGGTCCCATTTCAGAGTCCGTGAGCTGAGGCCCAGGGTCGCAATGGCCCGTCCAGGCGCCACAGTCAAGGTCACGCAGCCAGTGGGTGGGGGCGGCAGGAGCCCCATTCACTAACACCCCTCTCACACCTGCTGAAGAGAGGCGAAAGCCTCTTCCTACAGGAAATAGACGGTTTTTATTTGTACTGCAGGAACGGGAATCAGTGTCCTATGGGGGAGACAGCCCAAGGTAGACAAAACTTGAAAGAAAAAAAATCATTGCAAAAGCTACACATGAAAAAGGACCTGCAATTTATAATATCCCTAGTAAAGAAGCTGAAGCCCAAGTTTAGAAAACTGAGAAAATACAGCACTATTAAAAAGGTTAATCAGAGAGATAAGAGTTACAAAGAAAGACGAACAAGAATAACTACATTTCAATGAGATAAAATTAAAATGACTTAAAATAAGGGAATGTTTCAAGAAAGATAAAACAGTCATTTTTTTAAGAAGAAGAAAACCAAATAAATGTTAAACAACTGAGGATAGACTAGCTTCAAAGGATAAGCACAAAGAACATTGTTGAGTTAAAAAGGTTAACAATACAAAGACGATAATATATAAAATGAGGATCAGAATAAATTGCAAAGGATAAAACATGTGAAACAATGCCAAAATACCAGTCCAGGCTGTACACTGTAAAATTAAAATTTTAACAGAGCTAAAAAGAAAGCAAGCAGGTAGATAAGCAGACAGGCGTGTGTTCCCAACAAGCGTCCTGGGCCCCTCGCCCCAGGCCCCCTCGTTCAGGTGCAGGGAGTCTGTGGAGGAGAGCAGGGCCCCTCCCCTTTGCTGTGGGGACTGGTCTGGGAGCTCGTGAGGGCAGTGGGCCAAGGGCCCCGGGAGGGAGCGCCATTCCGGCCTCCGGCAGCAACGGGGCTTCTTAGCCCTGGCGCTGCTGCGCCGTGTGCTCTCCTGGCCCAACAGAACTCAGCTGCCTGTGCTCCTCCGGCTCCCAGGAGCCGCCCCGGAGCACCCCTGCAGGGCTCCTCCCTGCTCCAGGGCCCAGCGAGTTTGCTCGCATGGATGGAAGGCAGCGCAGTAAGGCGTGTCGAGAGACACGGTCCGTCTCGGTGTTTTCTACTGCAAGCTGGCTCTTTCCTGAAGCTCTTCCTTCTGTGAAATTGTCTGGGGGCTGGTAGACAGTGGAGGGAGGGCTCGGGTGCGAGTCGTAACTCTCGTCTGGAATTTTGGTTCTCCCCGTGTACAGTTTTTCCTTCTGTGGAAAGAGGGTGCTAGCATGCTCCCTGTTGGCCTGTCTGGGGGAGAGGTCTCGCAGGCCCAGGGCCGTCTTCAAGCTCAGGGGTGAGCATTGCTCTTTCTTCCTTTTCCATTGCTCACACCCCCAAACCAGAGGTCCGACCTGGGGCTCTGGTTGATAGGTTTCTGCGGCCTCAGTCACTGAGCGCCCTGCTGGCTTGGACACAGTGTTCTCAGCTCACAGCTGGTTGCTTTGGACTCCCTGCTGGGCGGCCAGCTTCTTCTCAGTGACCCAGCCCTTCGTCTGTGGATGAGGACTGAAGTCACCCGCTTCACTCATGCAGCGTGTTTCCTTGGGCAGCTTCGAGGTGCTTGGTAGGGCACTTCGACTGCCTGCACAGTCTTGGCTGAAAGGGGCTTGGACATCCTCGTGTTATTCTGCAGACGGGAACATGCAGAGGCCATGGCTCGTCGTCATCCAGAGACTTCCACGGGGGCGTAACATCGCACAGCAAACGGGCGTAGCAGTCTCTGCCCACGAGCTCTTCCTGTGACCCACCTGACCTGTGGTTTTGTGTAGCTTCCACTTGAACTCTTCCTGAAAGTGGTGTTCCGTTTCAAGGCATGCCCCGTCTGTGGGGCATAATTAGGTGGATTTGTGTGTTTTTTCTGGTTTTGATCTTTGGCCCGGGGGCTTCGCACACTGTAGTCAGTCTCAGCTCGGAGTAGCCCACGGGTAAGACCTAACCCTCCCTTCACCGGCCTTGACTTCCCCACGTGAAGTCCGCTCCACGTTTGATGCCGTCCCCCTCAGCATTGCTTACGTGACGTTGCGTCTGAGGTTCAGCAGGTCAGAATGTCGGTCTGACCTTCATGGATTTTTCTCTGGACTCGTTCCTAGCAATAGGCTTCTTAAAGGGAACAGAATTGCCTTGTATGCGGTCTGACCAGCAAAGAGGCAATTTTTGCATAAAGATTCCAGAGCCTAGACTTTAAGTGGTCCCTTAAGGAACGAGACTGACCTTTTCTTTCACGAGTAATCACGGGCCTTCGTGGAATTTGCGAGAACGTGCAGAACTGCAGTCCTCCCCTTTCATGGTGACGGTAATGGGGCCCCTAAGGACGCCAGGGAGGCTTTGCTAACAGTGGTCGGGGAGGCCAAGCCAGGGTCTTCTGGCAAAAATATGGCGGGTCTTGCCAAGCCGAGGATCTCTTAGCAACACAGGTCTATAACAGGAAAATAAAATACAAAGATGGTTTCCAAAAGAAACAGCCTTCCTCCATGTGCAAGCCTGGCCGCCTGTCTGGAGCTGGGCCGAGCTGCGAGTGGGAAAAGCAGCGCAGTGGTCCCTTGACTCCCAGCCCTTTCAGAAGTTGAGTAGAATTAGGTTAGAGCAGAGCGGGCTGACTGGAGTGTGGAGTGGGGAGTGGGGAGTGGGGAGCAGGCGGGTCTTCCCAGAACCACTCAGGAAAAGGCAGACACTGCGTGTGAGTGAGGGAGAGAAAGCAATCCCCAGTGCTTGGACCTTGCTTGTAGGGTGCGTGATGGTGACAAAATAATTTTCATAAAGGCAATGCACAGCCCAACTTATTCCCAGCAGAATCAGGGTATATTAATTCTTAGTATATATACAGTTTTACAAACTGGATTATCTTTTCCCAGGGCCGTTGTGGAATGGAAACAAAGAACAGTAAAGAGCAGAGGGCGTACACACTCTATCTACGTAAACACACCAAGGTATTAGGAAGTCACAGCTGAATGTTCCAGCGGAAACAAATGAGTCTCTGAAAATCAGGTTTCAAAATCGTACAATTTTAACTGTTTGGAACCATTTACAGTTAGTGCCAATAGTCTTCTACCCCCCACGGTGGGCGGTGAAGGCTTTATGGTACTCTCGAAGAGCACTCACAGACCCTGCCAAAAAATGTGTTCCGCAGCTTTTATGGGACATACAGGAGCTTCGTTCTTGCACACGTGTTTTCTGGGCTAATCCTAGCTATGGCCCGCCGAAGGGAGGTCTTCCTCAGTCCAGTTTCTATGTGAAAAACAACGTCAGTACAGAGGGACGATGGCCTGGGTGCAGGGAGAAGTTGTCTAGATACCCTAAACACGGCTCCCCCATTCGTGGGGGAGAGGGAGGGGCAGGAGACACGGGGGAGACTGGGCACGGCCGAGGGGGGCCGGCTGTCAGACCTCTGTCCCCCGACACACACATTCAGCAGGGCACCCGTGTCCCTGTCTCCTCCTCCGCAGGCCTCGCTGGTCACATGCTGCAGAGCCCGCCAGGGGAGTGCGCTCCACAGCCTGTGGGCCGTTGGGGGGGGGGCTGCGTGACCGGGGTCATACTGCCCGCAGAAATGCGGCTGAGGGTCACCGTGGCACGGCGCGACACGAGGGGAGGGTGGCGCCCTTTTGAACTCGCATTCCAAAGTTCCGGCCAGGCCCAGGGCACACAGAGCTCCGCTGCGGGAGCTCCCTGCGGGGCATCTGTGGGCCAGAAGCCACGTCTCGTGGCCGTCGCAGCTCAGCCGGCGCTCACCCCGCGCTCCTGCGGCAGGGACCCGGCCACCCTTCCCGAGAGCAGACAGCCGGAGGCAGGCTCGCCATGGCGCGCCTTGAGCACTTAGGGCGCCCGTGCAGCGGTGTGGCAGTGGTCGGGACAGATCAGGGCTGTCAGGAACGGATGTTTTCGCTTTGTTTGTTTTTTGGATAGTTTAAACTTTTGGACCCGGGCCAAGGGTCAGTGTCGCATGACAGTGTCAGTTGGGGTCTGCGTGCCTCTGTGCCCAGGAGCTCTGGGCACTGCCACCTGCCACAGGGGCCGTCGGGGCTGCGAGGACACTCGGGGGGTCTGGCTTCGGAGGGGGGTGCGGCACAGGCAACCGTGCGGACGAGCTTGTTCGCCGAGATCAGAATGGAAATCGTTTGCTCTGGGGACTCTCACGGCCCTGCTGCTAAGCCATCTGCATGGCGTTAAATGGCGCACAGTGAGGGGCTGAGCCTCCTGGGTGCAGGTCCCCGGGGCTCCCCGGCTTCCACCCCGGGTCCCACCACGGCCTGCGCACAGGCGGAGCCGCTCGCCTTCCTCAGACG